GGATTCTTGGGAGGCTTTGACAAGATAACGTGTGTACACCTCACAGCTTAGCAACTATGCCCATAGTTGTTACTCATGACAAGCAGCCTGTAGTATTCTCAGGGCTGCTGTGATTGTGGGAAGTCTACCTACCCTCTGTCTGAGGTTGCCTCTCATGGAGTCATCCTGATCTTACTGGAATGGAAGGTCCATACTGCTGCATTCCCACATGCCTAGAACAATACCTGGCAAATGGTAGTGTTTGAGTTATGTATTGAATGAATGAATGAATGTATGAATGATTACTTAGGTAACTGCCCAGGTAAGCAATGAGTAAGGAAGAAAAATAAAGAAAAGAAAAATGCAGTTTGAAAGTTCTTGTAGGCCAGTCATTCAGAGCAAGGGAAACATTCTTGGGCCAGTGAAAATGCTGTAGTCCACAATATTAACAGAGAAGTGGGCCTGAAATCCTGGCTCAGACTCTGATGTGAGATCCCAGCCTGACTTATGCAGAGGTCAGGGCCCTGTGCTCACTGGCCCTAAGCTGCATGGCACACCACATTGTGCACAATGTGAACACAGTGGCCAGGTAAGGCCTGGGCCCTCCAGCCCCTCTTTCCCAAAGAGTCCCGCACCTCCCTTACCTCCCCACATTCCCCACCCAGCTGTCTGGAAAGGGGGTGGGGCCTGTCCTCCATGCTGCCTGGAAATCCGGCCTCCTTTAAAGCCAGTGGGGTGGCTTCTAGAATAGTGCAAGGTGCTTCTGATGCTTTGCCACTTGTAGCCCCAGTGAGCCACAGAAGCAGCTCACTGTCCCCAGTAGATGATCCACTGCCTCCAGACGGGACCCTCAGTGCAGGTCTTTTGTGCCCCCTAGCGGCGTTTCGATGCACGACAACTCCAAGTAAGTGCTCAGGAAGTGGCCCCTTTCTCCCCTCCCCCACGATCCCCTCTTGATTCATCATCAGGCACCTCTCTCCCGGTGTGTGCCTGCTCCACCCCCTCTGAATCCCAGTCCCTGGTATGATCAGGATGGATCAGACAAGAAGAGGCATGGCTTTTACAGGTAGATTTGAAATTCAGGTAAGGGGTCACTTGACTTTATGTAGACCCCCATCCCCCAGCCTCATAAGCATATGAACTTCATCACTCCTAAAACCACCCCCGACCCCTACCACACTGATCCATGTCCAGTGTGCACGGACACAGGGCTGTGTGAGGGCAATGTAATGACCAGGATATTGTGACTTTTCGGGATTAGTGCCCATGTACTGGGGAGATGGGGCTAGAAGCAGCACTGCCCACCCTCGGAACCACCGACTTCTCTGAACTCTTGACTGGCCCTTGGGTTTTTGCTGCCCTCCCTCCTGCAGCCAAGGCTGTGCTTAAGCTTATTGGAATGGGTGGAAAACTTAAAGACAAGATGTAAGAAGTAGGATTTCAGGATTCGAAGGGGTCAGAGCAGGCCAGGATGGGGAGGTATGGGGGAAGGTTACTAATAAGGTAAAAAGTAACAGGCTGGACTGTCAGCTGCAGAAGGAAGAAGACAGTGTTGGCAGCAGTTCAGTGAGAACTACCTGACGGGGTCTTAGCCAACCATAAGGGAACATATGAATCATTAGTGGAAGGCAGTTATTTAGAAAGCCAAGGAGAGCTGCAGCAGGGGGACAGGCGGACTTGCTCAGCACCACCTGAGGTGTTGAGCTCAATTATAGGTCTATGGATCAATGGTAAACTCAGGCAGGCTGAGCGACCTGTGTGGAAGGGTGATGTATACCTTCACTGCCCCTCTTCCCCTCCTGAGGAAGGGTGTGCAGACTCAAGGTAAGAGCTTGGGATTATTCTGGGAGTCCCAGAGGAAAGACCAGGGCCAGTGGGTGGAAGTACGGGAGGAGAAGGTTCTCATTCAATAAAAGAAATGTGCAGCCATCTCACCAAAAATGGGAGTGAGGAGGCCGTCACTGGGGGTATATAAGCCAGACAACCGTTCCCATCAAGAGTTTCTGTAACTTGAACAATGTGTGTGATAGAATCAGTCTACACAGAGAATCTAGGAGTCCCTCACAAATTGTTATCATCATCATCACCATCAGACGCTAACGTCATTAACGGATTTGCTATCAGGGCACGCCGTGACAAGTCTGTGCTTCTGCATCCTCATGTCTGCTTGGTCGTCACACATTGGAGAGACCCAAGTTCTGCGACCAAGTCACTGTTGACTTTGGGACACAGTCCTTTCTCAGTCTCCTCGATTAAATAGTGAAAGAACATCAGGGAACCCCTTCACCCTTAATGGAATCTAACCAATTCCTGGGTGGGTAGCAGTGGTGGGGGGCAGCAGGGGGATCTTTAGCCCTGGCAACTCTTAACTGTGGTTCCAGGAGATCCCCTTCCCTTGGAGTGTCTCTCACTATGCCCACTGCTGCCACTGCCTCAGGGGACCTATGCCTCTAGCACCCCAGCCTACATAGAACCAAAGAGGCTGAGCTAAGGTTTTCTGTGGCTTGAGACAGCAAAAGGGAAATCAAGCCTGAGAGAGCATACAATTTGATGATCTGATTACAAAATGGCCTGAGTCCACAGGCCCCACCTCTCCCAACTCCTCATACTTTCGTGTGGGAACACTACCTTTCCCCAACTCATTTCCCCATTTCCTGCCTCAAAGGCCAGGCTAGAGAGCAGGGCCAAAAGAAACAATGTTTCCATCCCCACCTGCCTAACGCCTGGCTTCCACATCCCTGGATCCCACCAATGTGCTCCTTCTTCCTGGTGATCAACCCTGCGATGCCTACCCCTACCCTCAGGCATCTGACTTTACCCTGGTCCTCAACAGGACAGCTCAGTCCTGAACCCAGTTCTTGGATGAGATATCCTCAGTGGGGTCTGTTCCAAAGGCAAACAGATTCACAAAGAAATATTCAACTTTACTCAGTAAATTTATTGTTGGTAGTGTGTGGATGTAGCAATTCTGGAACTATCTTGTGTTTATTATAAGATTGAGGCAATGTGACATTTTGATGTTTTTGGAAACCAGGGTTCTCACTGGTAACAGAAGAAAGATGCAAATATGAAATAGGAGGAAGCAAGCAAGACCCCTGTGTTGATGGATTTTATCTATTCTATCCATAAATAGATGGTAGAGAGATAGAGATAGATAAAATGATGGTAGATGGGTGGATGGATAAATAGAAGATATATGATGATAGATAGATGATGATAGATGATTGATAGGTGATAGATGATAGATGATAGATAGATAGATAGATAGATAGATAGATAGATAGATAGATAGATAGATAGATAATAGATACTCTCCACCAAAAAGAACCATTGGAGAAATGGCTGATTCCAAGGCTAGGGCATAGAATGTATAAGGAAAACCTGGAACATCTTGTACCAAGAATTAGGAAAATGCTCCACAAAATTCTGGGGATACATTGAAATAACACAGAAGGCAGCATGAAGGGGTTTTCCATTTTGATTTGGGCATGAAAATGAATAATGATAGTAACAGATTATAAAACACTGAATTAAAAAAGGAACACTTAAGTCCATACTGACATTCATAAACACATGGGAGGAAAGACCTTGTTTACATTAGAAGTGAAGTATTTAAATGAAGTGATGGAGTTAGAAAATCATCATTTTACAGCCACCAAACTAATGTGACTCAGGAATCACCAGTGGATGCTGAAACCTGGGAACAGGATACTCACACTGTCTCAAAGTATCTCCTGCAGATTGTTTATTAATCACAAAGGGAAATGCTACCTTTAAAGTGGAGAGATCTGGCACACATCACCTGAATCAAATGATCACAGTTAACATCACCAATAATGGGACAAAGTGCCATTAAATGCCTCTGATATGCAGCAGCAAGGAGGCAAGAACGTCATTTATGTAGGATTCCTGCCAAGAAGGCATAACTTGAATCTAATCATGAAAACACATTCAGACAAACTCAAATTGAGGGACATTCTATAAAATAACTGAACTGGGTTCCTCAGAAATACCAATGACATGAAAGACCAAAGTAGGCTGAGGATTGAGATTAAAGACATAATAACAAGTAAATTGAATACATAGTCCTGGATTGGATCCTGCTTTGGAAAAACCACAATTGCCTTGAAGGACATTATTAGGCCAACTGGCAAAATTTGAAAAGTGTATCTGATGATGTAAGACAATCTCCTTGTTCTTAGGAAGCAGATGCTAAATATTTAGGGATGTAGGGTCAGGATGTCTCAAATGGCTCCAGAAAAATATGTGTACAGTATTTATTTTTTTCATTCTCTGGGTGTTCTCCTCTTGCCATCATCTGGCTGATTCTCTTCCAGAGTTTCCCAGTTCAAATTCCTGAGAGGTAATGTGCTTGGGTAGGATCCTCTCTACCACTCCTCTTTAGCGAGGGCACTGTGTTCTGGGAAACTGCATAGGTCTCTGACCAGCGTCTGGATTGGCTGTCTGGAGTCAGGTGCCCATCCCTTGTCCAATCAACCCTGGCCCAGGAAGGTTATGAGGTATATAATATGGCGGCCACCACTGCTCCCTCAATGGGACTGGTGGGCAAGAGGGCCTCTTTAGAAGGGCTTGGCAGGCCCCATCGTTGACCCCACTAGTGGGTATCTCCAGTTACCTGAATTAATCCCAGAGACACCTAAAGGCCTCCTGACATAACTTTGCCCTTCATTGCCACCCCTACTCTCAATAAACATTACAGATGCTGCTCTGGGCTGTCTTGCACTAGGTACTAGGGGCACAGGAGTGACCGCTGCTCCCTGCCCTCAGGAGCTCTGACTCAAGTTAGAAAAGGATGAAGAATGCAGATAACTGGTATGCAGGGCCAAAGCATGACCAACAAACAGAAGGAAGCCCCGTGGGAACACAGGTTGGGTCCAAAAAGTTCCCTGGACGGTGCCCCTGGCTGTGGCTCCTGCAAGGTAACAGGCTGTCAGACAGAGACCTGGCTGCACAAAGGGTACCCAGTGCCATCCCTGGGTTTGTGTTTTCTCTTTGCACAGCCGGACCCAGCGGGCCGGGACATCTCCATCCGCCCTCTCCTGGAGCACTGTGAGAACACCCACATGACCATCTGGCTCGGCATCGTCTACGCCTACAAGGGGCTTCTCATGGTAGGTATGGAGCAGGAGGCAAAGCTGGGGGTGTGCTTCTCTGGCAGAGCTCTCTCCGCCAGGGGCCTCCATCAACCTAAAAATAAGCAGAGCTCCCAGGACCAAGCACTTACTCTATGCCAGGCCTGGTGTCTGCCTTGTGTTCTCTCTGTTCCCACAACAGCCCTATGAGAAAGGTACAGCTAATGTCTCATTTCACTGATGAACACGCTGAGGCTGTTTGCCCAATGTCACTCAGCTTGTAAGTAGCAGAGTCAAGATCTTAAGGACTAACCCCAAAACCTCACAGCTGCCACCCTACTGCTCCCAGAATGGCAGTCTGTTGACATCCAGCATATGTTCATATCCCGCATTTCACTGGATCCTCTCTATATCTGTGGGAGGTGAGTGGAATCATTCCCATTTTTTAGATGAGGAAAGAGAAGCTCAGAGAGGTTAAGGGATTTGCCGGAGGCCACCTGGTAACCTCCAATCTCTGAATCCAGTACTCTCTCCACCCCACTCATCTGTTAAAACCAAAGATCTCTTACCAAGCCCCCCTCACCCAGGTATAGAATGTCAGTTAAGAAGGACTTGAAAGGGCAGTCACCACCACCACCCTGCCCCGGGCCACCTTATTCCAAGATGACCCTTGAACCTTCTTTCTCAAACCGTGTCTCCACTTAAATCCCTCTAGTGACAAGAAGCTGGTTACCACACCCTCCTCAGATCTTTCCACAGGAAAGTTAATTCACCATCTGCCTCTGTGAAGCCTCCACTTAGAGGCAAAGAAGGAAGCCTTCTCCAAAGGGCAAATAAATTGGAATTTCCTGTGCTGCTCAAATGCATCTTTACTTGCTGCTTTAGAGAAGTTAGAGATCGATCCTGTGTCCTTCGAGGGGCCACACCGGAAGAGCATGTGTTAGGGAACCCTAGACAAAGATCACACCCTCCCCCACTTCATATTAGTTGGGACCTCTTCTGGTTTTCATAAAGGTCCTTTGAAGACCACTAGACTGCAACCTGGGCCCCACAAGGTAATGGCCCTGAAGGTGTCCCAGAGTGGAAATGGGAGCTGGAGGATTGGCGAAGGGTCCTGGGCTTGCAGAAGAACACACTCAGGGACACGATCACCAGAGCCGTCAGAGGCAGGTGGTATAGATGAAGGGCAGAACCATCGTCAGCGGCAGTTACCAGAAGGCAGCCCTCATGTCCACGTAAAGAAGGATTTTGTATAACAGAGCAGTGTCCACAGAAGCGATGGAGTCCCTGCGAAGGAAGGCTCTCCCTGTCACAGGAGGTGTGTGGCATTGATCACTGGTGTTCCCTTGGCCCTTGGTGAAGAGACTGAAATTAGATTATGGTGCATCTGATTGACTGGATGCACCATATTGGATTTATCTGTAATGCTTTTAACCATTCATTATCTTCCCCACCTACTTCCAGTAGTGGCTGGAGAAGACTCTCTCTCCCAGTGAAGCTAATTCACTTCAGCCACATCATAATAAAAGCTGTATTTGGAAGCACAAATGCTCCACTGTTTGCAATATATGCAAGGAACTGTCCCTAGCCCTCCTGGTGCACGGGATTTATGACTAAAATCCCACCTAGCAGCCCCTTCTGCTCTGAAACCACAGAATTGCAGGGCTGGCAAGAGCATGCCCAGCCCTGTCAGCCCACTCCGCTGCCATGCTTCAGCACCCCAGCCCACCCAAGCATCCCCAGCAAGTGCTCTCACTCCCTGCTTCTTTCCCTCCAGCGCTGGGGAGCTCACACCCTTCAAAGCTACATGTGCCGTCCACGGATGGTGTATTTCCTGTGGCAACAGAAACAAATTACAACAAGCTGGTGGTGGCTTAAAACAACAGAAATGTATTCTCTCATAGTCGTGGAGGCTAGAAGTCTGAACCCAAGGCAGAGCTGTGCTCCCTCCGAAGGCTCTCGAGATGCTTCCTTGCCTCTTCCAGCATCCGATGGCTCCAGGCATTTCTTGGCCTGTGGCTGCATTACTCCAATCTCTATCTCCGCCTTCACCTGGCAGTTTCTTCTTTCCAAGTCTCTCCTCTGTGTGTCTCTTATTAGGATACTTGTCATTTGATTTAGAGCCCACCTGGATAATCCAAGATGATCCATCTTAAAATCCTTGATTATATGCAAAGACTTTTTCCTAATAAGGTCATAGTCACAGTTTCCATGGATTAGGATGCAGACATTATCTTTTAGGGCCACCAATTAACCCACTACAGATGGGTTGCTTTTCTAGAAAGTTCTTCCTTATCCTCAGCTGAAATCTGCCTCCACGTAACTTGTGCTCATGAACCTTTATTCTACTTCTTGAAGGTCTAAAAACAAGTTCCTCCCTGTTTCCTCCTGACAGTCTTCAGAGATTTGCCGCCAACTACCAGGTCCTCAGACTTGGCCACATTCTATGACTGGTTTGGTGGTCCGCTAGCAGTGTGGCAGAGAGGAGGGACTCTGGCCCCTTGTCAGAGAGGTGTCCTGGGCACCCATCCAGCCCTGACATTCACTGCCATGGGACCCTGGGCAGACCACTGGGCCTCACCCAGCCCCCACTTCTTCCCCTGGAAGATGTGGACCACCACGCCTAGTTGGCATGGTCACTGTGGGGTTGAAGGGGGGTCATACTCAAAGGAACCAGCACAAAGCAGGCTTCTAACAGCCATTGGTTTCCTTCCCTTGACTAGTACTGGCTTCCTGGGCTTCTGGTTCCCCATTTTAAAAAGAATTAGAAAAAAAATCAGTCAGCAAGATAACACACATAAGAGAAAAGGAGAGGGAAACAACCGTGGCTGTATAAAGTAACACCAATTACAAGAGTGCTTTTAACTTACTTTTGTACAGGACATGGCAGTTTACAAAAAGCTTTCACATCCATCCTCTCATTTCATCCAGATAGAAACCTTATAAGATAGGTATTGTTATTGTTCCCACTTCACAGATACTGAAACTGAGGTCCTGAGAGGTAAAGTGACTTGCCCAAAGTCACACAGCCAGTGGATAGCAGATTCCAGATTCTCCAGCCTTGTGCTAGCCACCCTTCTACCACTCAGCACTGTGCTGCCAAACTAAATCAAACTTAAAAACATAGACCTTCAGTGAGATGTTAAAATGGCTTGTGCGACTGTCAGATGCCCTGAGCTACAGTGATGAGGTCCATTTCTGTTGAGATGTATTGTTTGGGAGTAGAGCTGCAAGTGACAGAAAACCCAAACTAACAGTAGTTAAAGATATATTAATATCCCTCTCAGGTAAGAAGTATAGGGCTGGTACATGGGGGCTCCCAGAATTTCACCTTCTTGCATCTTGTGGCTCCCCCATCTTCATCATACAGTTTCCACACTGTGGTCTAAGATGACTTTGTGGTCTAAGATGGCTGCTTAGGCTCCACCCATCACATTCCACTCCATCTATTAGGAAGCAGGGGAAAAAGACCCTTTCTCTTTATAGATGCTTCCCAGAACCTGTACACAACACTTCCACCTACATGGCACTATCTAAAACCCAGCTTCAAGGACAGATAGGAAATGTAGTCTCTATTCCAGGTGGCTATGTGCACTGGGGGAAATACAAGTTCCAGACACAGGTGCTCTGCCTTTTTAAAAGACTGAACTGAACTTCTGGAGACTTAGTCCACTTTTATCACCATATTGCTGTGTGGCCTTGGGCAAACCCCTTCCTCCTCTCTGGGTCTCAGTGTTCTCTATAGAGGAATGGGAGGTGGTCAAGATCATATCTAAAGTTCCACCCCACCTTGGCCTCCTAGGGGTGTGTGTGTGAACCAGAGGTGGAAGTAAAGGGGAACCAGACAGCTCTAACACCACCAGTCTGCTTTTCCTGGGCGGGACTCAGCCCAGGGCCACAAGTGGAGACAGATGGTGACATTCAGACGACCTGGCCAACAGCAGAACCCCCAGCTTCTGTGCCCCCAGGCCCCACTTGCTGAGTAACCCTCCGTTCAGAGCTTCCCAGGCAGCAAGCACGGGCCAACCACTTGATAATGACCATCTCTCCTTTCTGTTCCCCACTGCAGCTGTTTGGTTGTTTCTTAGCTTGGGAGACACGCAATGTCAGCATCCCTGCACTCAATGACAGCAAATACATCGGGATGAGCGTCTACAATGTGGGCATAATGTGCATCATCGGGGCGGCCGTTTCCTTCCTGACCCGGGACCAGCCCAATGTGCAGTTCTGCATCGTGGCGCTGGTCATCATCTTCTGCAGCACCATCACCCTCTGCCTGGTGTTCGTGCCAAAGGTAATGGCCCCAGCCTCTGGCTCTGGCCCTCTCACCAGGGGACTGTGGATTTCCTCCACTTTCTACAAGTTTTATGAGTTCTCTTTTTAGGAACACAATTCACATTACAGAAAGTTTGGAAAATGCAGATAAGTTACCAGATTTTTTTCAGAAATCCCACATAGTCCTGCCACCCAAAAACAATCCCTAATGTTTTGTTTCATTTTTTACTAAAAACTAAATATTTTTATGTGTTTCTTGCCAGTCTTTTTTTTTTTTTTTTTNCCATATTTACATATCCACTTGATTCCTTATTGATGAGCATTACAACTGTTTCCAGATTTTTACTATTAGAAATGAACTTTGTTTCTACATAACACAATTTCCATATTTCCAATATTTCTTTAATATAGAGTCACAGAAATAGTATTAGTGAGTCAAAAGGAATAATCATTTTTAACAGCCACTTACATTTTTCATCTATCTGAAGAGCTTCAGGACCACCCAAGGGCTATTCTTCAAACATTATCCTACCCAGCAGTGGGTGGGTGAACCAGAGGCATTGACCTCTTGGGAGCCCCTTGCAGTAGGCTAGGCTGAGTGGAGGGAAGCCTGACCTCGGTAGGTATCAAGAATAAGGGAAGAGCAGGAAACAGAAAGAGCTGGGAAAGAGTTATTAGCCCAAGTGGAGAAGTGTCTGCCTTGGAGAAGGGGGAGAAGAGTGATCACTTGGGCCCCACTGTCCCTTAAACAGGCTGCCCATGGTGCTTCCATCCTCCCGGGCACCCAGCCAGTGTCCGGGGCTGTGTTGTCTCTTCCCTGGAATACTTCCAGGCTGTACTCCTTCCTTCTCTAGCTGTCAAAACTGCCCAGGCCCTAGGCCAATGCCACGACTCTTCTGTCCGCACTCTAACATTCTCTCCATCCTGCGAAAGATGCCAGATGTCTCTGAGCTCAGCTCTGGTCATGTCATCTACTCTTCACCCTCAGCAGCTTCTCATTGCCCTCCTGGCTCCACAGCCAAGTCCCCAACACTGCCCTTGTGTCTCCCCCAGCCCCCCAAGAGAACCCTGTCCATCATCCACACCGCCCTTCTCCCCTTCTCCCTATGCGCCCAGAGCCCCAGGCCTCCCTGCATTTGCATATGCCATTCCTTCCCTCCTGGAATCCCCTTACCCTCCCCATCCTTCCAGACCCTTCACAGAGCCCAGCCCACGCACACACAGCACTGTGGTGAACACTTGACCTGGGGAAGATCTGAGTCCTTTCTTCATCCCCATCCCTCACCTCTAGGCCATGAGGTCCAGTGGACAAGGGTCGTGACTCACTCAGCCTCTGCTCTCCAGTACTGAGCCCAGCCCAGAGCCTGCCTCAGACCACAGCTGTTCTTGGATAAACAAATAAGATTAGAGTCAAATGGCAAACGTTCCTTTTACATAAAAATGCTTTTTCAGTGACAGAGCTAGTCACCAGTCTGTCCCTAAAACTCATCAATGGTTCTAACAAGCAGAAGCCTTCACTCTCCTCCATCCCACTGTCTTCACTGCTGTCACTTTCAGGTTTGTTTCCATGGGGAGTGAGGCTGAGTGAGGCTCAGCTGGAGCCAGGCCCAAGGGGCTCTGGGTAGGCTCTGCAGGTGGAATCAGGGTCAGGAGACTAGACTTCTAATAACAAGGAAGGAAACTGAGACCCACTGAGGGGAGGGGGCCTACCCAAGGTCACACACAATTGAATGGCAGAGAGAGGCCCGAGTCCAGGGCTCCAGGCTCCCAGCCTGGGCCCTTCCTGGGGCTTCTTGTTGCCTCCAGGGCAAGTCTTGCTGGGGGCACTGGATTGGGGATGGGAGGGAGAACCCCAGGCTTCTCTTTTCAACCCTGTTTCTGTCCTTTCAGCTCATCACTCTAAGAACAAACCCAGATGCAGCAACTCAGAACAGACGATTCCAGTTCACTCAGAATCAGAAGAAAGAAGATTCTAAAACATCCACCTCGGTCACCAGCGTGAACCAAGCAAGCACATCCCGCCTGGAGGGCCTGCAGTCAGAAAACCATCGCCTGCGTATGAAGATCACAGAGGTACCCTGCACAGCCATGGGAGCCAGGGCCCCGGGCTCCCACCTGAGTCCCTCTACCCCGTACAGGGACTCTCAAGCCGCCGCTCCCCACCACATCTCCTTTGGGACATCCCCATGTCATGGATGTGCGGTCCCATCTGACACAGTTATGGCTGCAGGAACCAGGGGGAACATCAGCTAGCCAGAGGCAGTTTGTCAGAATCTGACAGGAGTTTATTGTCCACATGGCCCAGGTTCTAGGAGTCCAGCAATGCCCCAACTCAAGTCATCCTCAGAAAGAAAGAAGCACTTAGAAATTAGTGAGCTCCCAGCTTATAGGAGCCCCTAAATGTGTGGGTTCCCCTCAATTTTTCACTCCCAATACAACCTGTAACTGCCCAAATCTATATGATATATAAGAGAAGAGGAAGTAAAATTTTTCAGGTGGGAGAATTTGCTATAGCAGACCTTATTTTTGTCCTAAGAGTCCTTAACTGGTCCTAGAATATTCCAGAGAAACTGTAACCAGATCCTTCTGTGCCCAAGCCAGACCTCAAATTCTGGACTTTCTATACAAAGGAGGGGAAACCAAATTACCTTCCCCTTCTCCACCCCTCCTTTTGGGTCAGGGTGTGACCAGGCCCAGGGTCTGGCAGGCTGTGTGGTTAATAGAGGAATTCTGATTCAGTGAGTGGCACAGGAAAGAGAATGTGTTGGTTAGGATTGCTGGCTAGGTTGCTGTAACAGAAGCTCAAAGCAAGAGACCAAAAGAAAATATATGTTTGTTTCTCTCTCACCTAATGGTCCTGAGGAGCAAGGCTGGCGGCAGCTCTGCCTCCTAAGTCACTGCTGGATGAGGCTCATTTCCTCTTGCTGCCGGCCACGCCCCAAAGCGTTTTCCTTGCTGGTGGAGTTAATGCCTGGTGTAAGGCACACCCTTTTCTCAGTCTCAGGAAGGGAAGAGGAAGTCCGTCCACACAAGGGACTGCCTTATAAGCAAGTCATACAAAACTTCATTCATTTTAGTTCTGTTCCAGGTGCACTGGCGAGATCATACTTAGCCACGGGGAAGGCTGGGAGATGTAGTCTCTGGTTAGACAATCACAAGATGAAGTGAGATGTAGGGTTGCCAGATTAGATATGGGATGTCTGGTTAAATTTGAATTTCGGACAACCAGTCATATTTTTAATATAAGTATGTTGCATACAGTATTTGGGACATATTTGCACTAAAAGATGATTGATTGTTATCTGAACTTCAAATGTGACTAGGCATTCTGCATTTTTATTTGCTAGATGAGGCAGCCTTTTGGGGGACTCACAGGAGTCTGCCACAAAGATCCACTACCCAGTTGTCTGTGCAGCTAAAGCTACTGCTTCAGGATGGGACAACCCTCCATTTGCTTGTCTGCCACTGGAGCAAAGTAGGAAAGGTTTCTGTCTCTCAAAGCCCATTGCTGATTCTTTTTTAGTGTAAGACCTCTCTAGAACTATCCTGTCTCTGTGTCTTGACATTCAGCTTCTACTTGCTCACTCTGCAATAGAGTTTACTTACTTTTTGAAACCCAAGTCACTGTCAAAAACCCTAAAATGTTGAGTTGTTCTTCCTGGAATTGATTTACAGTCTGGCCTCCTTTGATCCTAGCCCTGCTGTTTGAGTCATACAGCAAAAGGTCTCTCTCCTTCTCCACATGAAACCTTAGTAAACAATTTAATGGCTGTGCTCTTTACATGAGAACAGCACTTTACAGTTCATAACATCTCCTCCCTTATACTGTAGTAGGATGCCCATTACCGTCCCCATCTGCCACCACCTCCCACAACACACACACACACACTCTAGGCCTCTCAGGGCTGAACTGCCCCAGGGCTTATATTAGATTTGTATACAAACTGAGGGTGACTGGGATCCATCCTGATCAACTCCTCTGGAGGAACCCGTACTGGCCTGAGTTTTCATGACAGTGTGAGGCTCAGAGCTGACCATCCCTGCAAATCTGTAGCCCCCGCAAAGGTCCTACTAGGTGTCAGTAATAATTATTATAGTAGCAGGTCTCCCTTATTATGTGTCAGGCACTGGGCTAAACTTTCAGTGCATGATCTCAGTTCATCTTCACAACAACCCAATGAGGTAGATACTGTGATTACCCCATTCTACAGAGGAAGGAACTGAGACTCAGTTCTCACAAGCCAGCACACAGCCAGCAAGGGACAGCCCTGGGTTTGCCCCTTGCCTGTCCCCTTCAGAGCCTGCCTGCCTCCCTGGGCTTGCTTGGCTGTTCCATCAAGGCGGAAGCCTGCACTGAACACATCATTGCAAAGTTCAGGTCCCTCTCAAGAGCAGAAGCAAGAGCTGCCAGGAGCCCTTTGCATTTCTCCCCCAACATGCAGCCCTCTGGCTCTCAATGCCCTCCTACATCCTGCCCAAGGCCCAGCTCTTGGCTCTCGAGGCCCGGCTGCCCGAGCTGGGGCAGTGGGCTGGGCTGGGGCCCTGACTCATTCGGAGCCTTTGTCTTCTAGCTGGATAAAGACTTGGAAGAGGTCACCATGCAGCTGCAGGACACACCAGAAAAGACCACCTACATTAAACAGAACCACTACCAAGAGCTCAACGACATTCTCAACTTGGGGAACTTCACTGAGAGCACAGGTAGGAGTATGAGGGGCCCCTGGCACGTGGGCACCTGGGCATCAGATACCAGCCATCCATCTTCCACTTAACAGATAAAGAAACTGAGGTGCAGAGAGGTAGCGGGGCTGGCCTGAAGTCACACTGGCAGAGCTGGAACATCTGGATCCCCTGTCTCCTGACTATAGTTCAGTGTTTATTTGGAGCCCTGCTCTGCATAGAGCCGGGGCTTCTGTTTCTCAGCCCCTTGGGCTCCAGCTGCACATGCACACGATGGGGCCAGCATTCCCAGTGTTCTGACTGGGGACCCATTGTCCTTAGTGAGTAGTTTACCTATAGTTCTCCCAAAAATACTGCACAGTTTCAAATGCACCTCGTCAAAGTACTAGTAAGGAATGGTCAATAAGCTTTAACATGATGTTCAGTCTCACCAATCACTTGGAAATGCAAGCCAAAAATAATACAATCCAATTTTTGCCTATTATTCACCAAAATAGTTAAAGATTACCAGTGTTGGTGAGAGTGTATGGAAATGGGCATTCTCCTACAGTGTTTTTGGAAGTCAGTCTGCCACATCCAAATGTTAGATGTAAACCTCTTGACTAGCAACTCCACTAGCAATTCCTACCCCTTGGAAATACTCCCACATGGGCAAAGATGTATATACACGGTGTTTATCACATTATCAGTTGGAAAGAAAAACTGGAACTAACTTAAATGTTCATCATTTGGGGTGGTTTCATTAATTATGATCCAACCAACCAAGGCACAAAATACAGCTGTTAAAAAGTGAAGAGGATCCATTTGTGCAAATACAGGAGGGTTTCCGAGTGAAAAAAAGCCAGATGAAGATCAGTATTATGCTACACATAAAGGCACAAGTGTGTGTAAGTGCACTTTTTAAAAGGTTTGGAAGAACAAAAACCAAATTGTTCACAGCATGCGCCTTAGTGAAAGGAAACAGTATGTGCAAAAGGTGGGTGAGGAGGGATTCTCTTACATTTCATCTTATATATTTCTCTACTGCTTTCATTTGTTATTAGCATGTATTCACTAATTTGCTATAAAATTATTTTTCAGGTCAGTGAGAAATCTTTAGTTTCTTTTATTCTTATTATATTAGTACGTATTCCTATTAAAAAGGTAATATAAAAAATTCTTATTATGTAAGATGTCAATTGCAAAAAATGTTTAAATTGAGATAACAAGGAAATGCAAAAAATAAAAATTACCCAAAATAATTGTAGTATCTGGGAAAAGATGGGCATTTCAAATTAGTGGGGGGAAAATGAATTATTCAATAAACTTAATTGGGATAAATGTGTAGCCATTTGAAAAAGAAAAAATTTAGATCCTTACCTCACACCTTACACAAAAATAAATTCCAGATGGGTAAAAGATTTAAGTATAAAAGTGAAATGATGAAAGTACTAGAAAAAAACCTTAGGACAATTCTGTTTGTAATCTCAGAGAAGGGAAGACCTTTCTCGGCTTGATGCAAAACATACAAACCACTAAAAGAGTTTATATGTCTAACTACAAAAGAAATTTTTTAGCAAGGCCATCAAAAGTAGTCAAAAAATCAAACAAAAAATAAGCCAAAAAATACTGTAATTCAGGTAACAAGCTTATTCCCTATATATAGGAAATTTTCATATATATGTAGATGGATAGATAACAAACTATTAAGTAGAAGACCAACAACCAAAAGAAAAATGGCCAAAAGAGAATTCTCCTAAAAGGAAATAACAATGGTTCATAGGTTAATAATAAAATGTTCAATCTCCCTACTTTATTAAAGGAATGCAAGTTAAATCTGCAATGAGATGCCATTTTCACCTGTAACACTGGCAAACATTAGAGATCAAAAAGTTGCCGAGAGTTTGAGGAAACAGGTGGGAAAACAGCATTCTCAAACATTCCTGATTAAAACTGAAATTGTTCTACTCCGTCTTTGGAATTTATCCTAAGGATATATAGTCAACACTTGTTATTCATGGTAATTATGTTTTACAAAGGCTCTGTGACCCATGAATTGATTAGTGAGACTGAACCATTGCTCCTAGAGGAAATCCAGGGTTGTGTTCCTGCAAGCCAGGAACAAGTTGGGTTGACATTTTTGTCAACTGATCAATATATAACTTTGTTCTATGTGTATTTCTGTTTAAAGACATCTTACTTAATATATATTGTTTCATGAATACTGAACTTACAGCCAACAGCACTATAACTCATGACTGATCAATGCTCACTAACACTGTATTTTTCCATCAAGTTCATTCCAACCTTCCTGCACTTTGGAACAGTAGGCGGCACTTCAGCACTATGCTTGGGGGCCATTTTAAACAGTGTAAGCACCAACATAAAGCACAAAAATGTGAAAAATGTGGCACTAGGATAGATCACAAAAACAGTATTTATTTACGGAATGAGAACTGAAACAAGAAGACAAAGCGTCACCTTGTCTGACCTCAGCAAGGAATGTACACATTGGGAAACTCAAATTTTTCAATACTGTATGTGTGTCAGCAAAGGTCTATGAACACATCACAAGTATTGATCTTGGGGTTACAAATAAATTTTAGCTAGTAGGTGAATTCACAAATACCAAATCCATGAATAAGGGGGATCGACTGGATTCACATAGGTGCAAAATGACATACATAAAGCAGCCCCATACAGCAAAACAAAAAACCACTGATGCTCCTCCAAATCACTCAGGAGGGGACCAGATTTTTAAATTTTATATTTCCTTAAATATCTCCAGGTGGTTCTGAAGCGAAGAGGGTTGAGAGCATCTACATCATGTTTTGTGGCTAGACAGTATTTCTTTGAATGGTCACCCTATACATACATATTAATATGTACCTAACCCATTATTACTGGAAAAAATTCAGATTAGTTTCAGCTGTTTATATTGTTAACAGTGCTGTTTTGAACATTTTACATATATCTCAATCACATCCTTAATTATTTCCTTAGGATAACTCCCAGAAGTAGAAATTCCAGGCAAAAGATATATACTTTTTATAGCGTTCCATGCTTACTGATAGTAACCACCAGAAAGATTAAGACAATTTATACTCCTACCAGCAGTTTACTATTATTATTTTTTTTTTCAATCTTTGGCAATCTTCTGGAAAATATAACTCAGGGTTTTTTTGTTTGTCATTACATCCCTATGCACTGGTGAAAGAGGCCTTAATAAGAATCTCTCATTTCTTAGTTACACTGTCTACATTGGTTGACTTGATTTCTCCCCTTTTTTCTCAGAGAAAAGGAGGTCATGGGGCACACCATCCATATTCTTAGGCAGCCGCCTAATAAAATGGCACTGTTGATTTTTAAAAGTTAACAGAATGTGTTAACTTGTTTTGTATTCAGATGGGGGAAAGGCCATTTTAAAAAATCACCTCGATCAAAATCCCCAGCTACAGTGGAACACAACAGAGCCCTCTCGAACATGCAAAGACCCCATAGAAGATATAAACTCCCCAGAACAGTAAGTACCTTCTCTTTGAGAATTACTGCTGAAGAACATGTTACTCCCATTACTCTTGCACAACAAAAAAGTTTGCAGTTTGCACCATGTTTTCACATGCATTACTCTATTTGAACTCCACAGCAATCCCATGATGCAGGTCAAATTACACCGCTCTTTTACAGCTGGGAACATAACATTCAACAAGGGGAGGTAACTTGTCTAAGCTCCCAGTTTCTAAGTGCAAGAAATAGGATTTGAATTTAGGTCTATCCAACGTCAAACCCATATTCTCCACTGTAGCACACTGCCTTTATTATGTATAAAATTAACCTTGTTAAATGCATTTACTTAATGATTTCCTGTTAGCTACTATGCATCAGACACAGCAGTGAAGAAAACAAAAGTCCCTCCCTTCAAGGAGCTTACATTCTATCTGGTGAGACAAAACCTTAATTAGAAAAGCAAAACCTAGTATGCTAAATGATAGGTAGTTTGGAGAAGAATAAAGCAGGGAAAGGGGTTAGGGAGATTACTCCTACAAAGGGTGGTCAGAGAAGATTCAAGGAGATGAGGACATCCAAGCAAAGACCTGGACATCTCCATTAACTTTGCTCCCCCTGGCAATTTTCAGTTCCTCGTTGCTTACCGCAGATTGGACACAGAGATTAGAAATGTCAGCTCTGAAACTTGGTCCCTGGGAAGTGACAGCAAGCAGTGAAGAACCAGCAAAGACAATGAACCACAGTGTCATTTGGGGCCATTTGAGCTAACAGCCTCCTGACCCAGTTAGCTAGCTTACAGTGCCAGAATAATTACCGATGGTTACGTGGCATTGTCAGTGGTTTACCTATTGTTCCCTCCACTAGAGTGTAAGCACCTTGGGAGTAAGGCTTGAGTCCTTCCTATGTCCCTGGACTGAATACAGGTTCTGCCACTGAGGTTGTTGGCAAGTGTCTGTTGAATGAATGAAAATGTAAATAGGATCCCAGCAGACAGCACAATGATGTGGTTCTGACAACCTCAGACAGATGCCAACCTTGTCCAGGCAGGTGGTCCGTCCCAGGTGCTCGGACAGGGCACCCTTTTCCTGGCTCAGAGATTACTCTTCAGTTCCCCTTTTCCCTGGACTCTTTGCCAACACCATCTTGCCTTAAGGAATAGATTACAGCTGATGTGACACAGCTTCAACTTTAATTTCAAAGTGAATCTCCAACATTGTGTCAGAGAAAGAATGCTAGTCACAAAGAAGCTGAAAGACCAGGGAGGAATCTGCTGGAATTGGCCCAGCATGAAGGGCTGAGGTCCCAGGCAAGGCGGATGCAGAGGAGCCAATGAGGAAGGGCAGAGGAGCTGAGAAGCCTTTCAGGGATGGAACCCAAAGTTAAGTCCACCTGGAGGCTTCCAAGAGTAGAGAATGAGAATTGTCTGTGTTTGCAGCCGAGCCCAAAAAGGTGAAGGCGTGTTCTTGAGGATCACTGGAAGCTCGAGAAGACTCCATCTTCCTTGCTTACTGTCTCCCTGATTATTTGCAGGGCAGTAGCTGGCACACGTAGGCTGCATTAAATACCTGCTAGATAAGTGAACAGTTAGATGATAGGATGGACAGATTTGGACCCAGCAAAAACTGTGCTCCTACCATTCACTTCTTAGTCAAAATGAGTCCAAGGAACTTTCTGGTAAGCAGCCAGATAGCCTTCACTAATACTCCTCTCTCTCTCCCTGCCACAGTATCCAGCGCCGGCTGTCCCTCCAGCTCCCCATCCTCCATCACGCCTACCTCCCGTCCATTGGAGGCGTAGATGCCAGCTGCGTCAGCCCCTGTGTCAGCCCCACCGCCAGCCCCCGCCACAGACATGTGCCACCCTCCTTCCGAGTTATGGTCTCAGGCCTGTAAGGGTGGGAGGCCTGGGGCCAGGGCCTCCCCCATGATGGAACCACATGGAGCAGTGGCGTCTGCTGCAGGAACACTGTCGGCTCTGGCTGTGGAGAAGCTGGGCACCACAGCTGGCCTCCCAGGACTGCTCAGATGGCGCTCGAGTGGACAGGATGGAGGGCACTTGGCACCTGACCTTGTACCTTATTTGTGAAGATTTTATTCTTTCACAAAGAAGAGAAATGGAAATGACTTCTTTCTTAACATCTGCAGAGGAGGAGGAGCTGGGATGTTTGAAACTTTGCAAAAAAAAAAAATTCTAGACAAGGAAAGTGTCACTAGAACTCCAGCGAGAAGTCACTAAGTGGCCCTGAGCAGCCTTGAGAAGAGGTGAGAGGCTTCTGGAAAAACCACCTCTGCCTCTGCACACACATCACTGGCTGTGGCCCCCCAGGCCAGCCCTTCCCTTCTGGGGAAGGAGGCAGGCCGGGCAGCCAGGCCACCAGCTGCCAGCCAGCCAGCCGCAGCCTTCCCAGAACAGGGAGTCTGCAGGGAGGGCAGCCAGGCGCAGCTCTGCGGCATCAGGCTGGTGGGGTACTGGAGCAGGCTGACTTAATGTGCCTGCCGGTGGGACCTTACTCTCCGATAAATGCCACACATTAACACAGTAACACCTGTCCCGGGACCGTGGGGATTTAGGGCAGTCACTGCAGACTTGCTCTGCAGCATTCGCGGACAGTCGGTCATGCAACCGTCACATCGGCTGTGTCCTTGTGTTTGTATCAGGTGTTCCCGATAGTAAGGGGTACCACCCGAGCTAATCAGGGAATGTCTGCTCCCAGCAAACGCGATAAAGAAAGACTGTGCACTTTAACCTCTCTCATCAGGGCCCAGAGGCTGGCTGGGGTTGTTTCTTTTTCCACTGACTTTGTTTCTGACCAAAGTGAATCGGGGGCATTCTGCTAGAAGGCATCCCTGTAGCTGTAGGGAAGAGTTGCTTGCTGAGGGCTTCTCTTGGCTTCCGGAAGGCAGCCTTTCATCCAGACAAGCTGAAAGCTCTGCCATGGGGGGTCTTGGAGGTGATCAGTCAGCTCGCTGATCCTCATTCAAAAGGTCACTCTTCTCGTTTAATTGAACCCCAAAGAGCACTGGCCTGGGAATCAGAGAGACCTGGGTTCAAGTCCTGCTGACTCCTTCCATGACCTTGGGCAAGTCACTAGTGGATCTCTAAGCCTCGGTTTCCCTTAAAAAATTGGGGTTGAAATAACACCCATCCTGCCTACCTCACAGGGTCACTCTAAGGATCAAAACTTGATCTCATCCAGGAAAGCTTCATACCAAACAGTGAAGCGGCTCTGACCCGTGAAGTATCAGGATGACCATGACCTTCAGCCCTCATGACAACCGAGCCTGTGGCCCAGAGAAGCTCCCAGCACAGCCCTCTACCCGGATCAGCCCTGCTGGAGAGAGGCTCCCCACCGATAACTTTTGTGACATTCCTAGACAGGTTCATTCTTTGCTAAAGAAAGGCCTGAATGACACTGTCCAGGACGTCTGCACAACTGAGCAGTTGCTCACTCCCTAAAGAAACCTAATGGCAGCTTCAACAGGCAGGCAATAATCTCTTCCCAGACCACTGAAGTCAGGAATATACTGCTGTCACCACCAGGCTTTGACAAAGGGCCCACGGGAATCCTACCATCACCAACATTTCAAAACACTACTTCACGTAGCATAGATTTCCCCTCCCCTCCCCCAAAGAGAGGTTATGGAGGTACTATAGCTTTTAGGGAAAAACAAATGTTAACACATCACAGGTCAAGTTAAAGTCATTGTCTGTTTAGACACTAAAAATTGATGTTGTCACTCACTGTGTATTATCAGTATTTACTTGCTTTCTTGATTTCACCAAAACCAGATTTAATTTAAAAGACCACATTAATTTTTCAAAGGGAAAGAGACAATTCCTTGTACATAATGTATACACACACAAAAAAAATACCTGTAGAAATATTATTCCAGCATAGCAGGACACAAAAAGAAACAAAAGTACTGGACAGTCAGAGGTGAGTGTGTGCGTCTGTGACCTGTTGTGACCCCTGAACATGCACAGTCTTCTAGGTTAACCCACAAAGTACATTCTCTGTCTTAATGATACTGTAGGCTCACCCATTTTTTAAAAATTTCCCTGCAAATAACAAGACCCACAGAAGTGACTCTAGCTATTTAACAGTTCTGTTCTTTTATATGCAGCAAACACACCGTACATTTCCGAAGAGGCTTCAGCCTGAAGGCATTTTCCAATGATGTTAGTGCACAAATGCTTTAAATTAGACTGGAACTGCCAGAATCAAATGTAAATGAGGAATTTCTCTACCCCTATTGCATGGTATCAATTTTTAATAAATTGTTGCAAATTTGTTTTTATGAATAAAAGGAAACAAACTGTCATCTTTAATGCTTGCTCTTCCCAAAATGCATGTCAGGGCAAGCCATATTCCTCTGCTTGGAAACTCAGGGGCCAATTTGTGGGGTTGCCAGCTCAGCAACGGCCCTTCCTTCTGAAGCTGTCCTTCCCTGCCTTCTGCAGACAGGAAAAGAGCAGCCCTGTTCCCATGTAACCCCAGCTTCTGGCCACAGGTGATGGTTCCAAGGGCGGAAACTCGACCTGAGCTGGGCAAGTCCCTTCCCGAGGATTCCTCCACGTAAAGAAATATAGTCAGCCACAAAAGAGAAAATAAAACCAATGTGGAGAGAAGAAAAATCTAGAGATGGGTCCTGATACTCTCTGAGTACCTGGTCAGCTGTTCCTGAAGGCCAGCAGACCATGGTCATTCTCATGTTACATTCAGGCCTTCCTCATATTCTCTTCTCCCAGTAAATCCCCCTTTTTGCCTAGATTAGTTCAAGTTCAGCTCCCATCAGTTGCAATGAAAAGGTCCCCAACTAATCTAGAAGCCTCACTGCCTCCCCAGGCTGACTCCCCATCCAGGCCATGTCAGCCTGTGATTTGGCCCGACTTTCCTTCCCAGCCTCATCACCTGCCTTCCCCTGGACCCTGTAGTCTGCACTTCCTCTACCACGCTGGAACCCGCAGCCTGCAGCTCCACCTCCAATCCTCCGCATCCTTCAAGATCCCATCCAAAACACCCTCCTAGATCCCTCAACATAAAACTCTCTCTCCCTATTTTCTGTGCTGAGGACTTTGTCCCTCTCTCAGGGTACTGGGTACATGCTCACACCAGCCCATCCTCCCCACCCCCAACCCTGAGCTCCCTGAGGATGGGAGTCACATCCGCCTCCCTGATGTCTGCCGCAGCATCAGGCACCCCCCACTGGCCCACAACAGTCCTCAGTGAGGCTTTGTGGAACTGCACATTTTAGCTCAGGCACTGTCATACTGGTTGCTGGCCTGGAAGATGGAGCAAGGGCAAGGGGGTCCGTGCCGGCTGGGGCAGCCTGCCGCCACACGACTGGGTGTGCACCCCAGAGGCAGAGGGAATGGACCCACGGACTTCACGGAAAGGTTGGGCAGGTTGGTGTTTTCCAGTGCCCGGAACCCTCAGTGGTGAGCCTGCAAAGCAGCAGCCAGCTGAGTCCTGGCCCAGAGGGAGCCCTGCTCCAGGACATCTAGGCTACATACAGGAAACGTTTTATCCCATAAAGCCAGAAATATCAAAGATCCTGAATGCAAAAGTAGAAATACTAGGAAGGTTGACTGGATCACAAAACGAAGTCCACGCTCAAAGCTTTGGAGTGGAGTGAAACTGGAGAGGCTGCCAGCCTGCAGGCTCAGGGGGTGTTGAAAAGCTATTAGCTCTGCCATCTTTGCTCTTGAAGTTGAGGCCACTTCCTGGGCTGGGGCCACCACGCCTGTAACTGGAGAATTCGGCACTCGTGAGGAGTCAGGGCTCTGTGCCAGACACTGATTTCCCTCCATCTGAATTCCAGGGCAGAAGACCCAGGACAGTGTTTCTCAAACTTGAAAACCATAGGGACATATTTTAAGATAGAGCATTGACTTAAATGATTTTTATAAAGAAAGTTACCTAAACATGTTCAAACTAGACATAAACTCATGCTTATATCCTTCATATAAAAGCAAAACAAATGTATAAATTAAATGCAAATGAAATGACCAATAAAAATCATGCTAACAACACTGATTTAATGGGATAGATGCAATTCTGCTGAAAAATAAATCACAGATCGCAACATGAGCTCAACACCAAGTGCTCTCGGGCACATTCCTTTGAGTTCAGCCTGCCTGATGTGATGACTCAATTATCACACTGCTTTTCTTTATTTAAACTACTGTGAAGACTTCATTTATTCAGCATGCTGTGATATCATCTGGCCTCACTCAGCTCTAACACATCACTTGTCTATTAAATCCACCTTTGTTTTATTCTCATGAGCCATTGACAATCATGGAGCCACAATCATGGAGCCACTCGGACAATACACACAAATCGAACGGTGATTGAGGGCTGATGCTCATTAAGCACTAGGCTATGTGCTCTGCAGGCATAATCTCATTCAGATCTCACAAGGGCCCCAGAGCAGGAATAATTACTACCACCCTTTTGCAGCCAAAGGCACTCAGGCATAGAGGGTGAGGGCTGTCCCAGGTCACACAGCTGGGATGCAGAGCCAGAATCTGAACACCTGCGGTCCGATGCTGGAACCCACCTTCTTTACTGCTTTCTTCAACTGCCTCGTCAGAGGTGGCTGGATTCAGATTATCCAGAATATGCCTATTTCGTTTGTTCTAGATTACCTTGAAATGGGAACACAATCTTTTTTAATTTTATAGATTTGCACAACTCTGAGATTCATCCATGGCATCACCTGAGGCTCTAAATCCTGGCCTGAGTGCTTGTGGCCCAGGCAGTGTGAGCGGGAGGAAACCCTCACTGCACTGAAACCCTGGCAAGCCTGTACAGACACAAAACTGCCCAAGCGCCCATTGCCCAGATCCCCCTGCTGCCACCCCTGTCCACTGAAGCCAGAGCACTTGGGCCTCCAAGATCTAGCAGAAGGATTCTGCCAACATCCCAGGACTGGGGAAGAAGAGAGAAGATGCTCACCCTTCTGGGAAAAAATGCCAGCCCTGAATATGATATTCACCACTTAAAAGTGACCAGGCTGACAAAAACTGGAAAATACTCAACTGCTATTAACAATAGAACAGAAAAAAAGGTGATAAGAGTATATTCAGAGTGAAATCTTACATAGTGAAAATGGAAAATCCTACAAATGAGGTAGAAAAAAAAGGAGAGACCACTCCAACCCCACCTACCCAAG